GGGGGGGGGTAAATCACTTACAAATACAACTACATAAGAACATAATATACGGACTGGCATAAATAACGCTAAAAAGTTGCACCATGTGAAGAAAACAAAAATGAGTATTTACGTGAGTTGTTGTCATTTGTCTCTATTCACAATTATTGGATTGGCTCCAGAAAAAAAAACCCACAACAGGCTCATTGGCCGCTTAATAAGCATCAAACAATACAGCAAAACAACCCTCTCAATGGTACGCAATAAAAACGTGAATTGAATGATGAATTTTTTATCACAAGGCCTATAAATTCTCTGCCCTAAAATGTTTGATAGAGTGTTACATGGTACGACTATCAAGATGCCAAGATTATCTGCGGAAAATCGAGAAAGAGCTAGTTGACGTCTGCAAGCCGGTGGGAGCCCTTAGCAGGTGGCAACAGTCCTGGGAGTGCATGCCAGCACTATCTACCTCTTGCAAAACAGATTCCAGGCAACCAACTCCACGAGAGATCTCCAAAGAAGCGGAAGACCTCGACTGACAACAGCTGCCCAAGACCGCTTCTTCGTGCGTCAGCATCGTCGAGATCCACGATTGTCTGCCTCTGAGACAGCCCAGAAAACTATAGGAACTCACGGTAGAGCAGTGTGTGACCGCACCATACGCCGCCGACTTGCGGCCAGGGGGATGCGTTGTCGGCGTCCGCAGAAGAGAAAACCCCTGAACGTCAATCATCGACGAGCTCGTCTCCAGTGGGCTCAGAACCACGTTAACTGACGTCATCGACAGTGGCAGCGTGTGATCTGCAGCCTGCATCGATCCTGACAATGGACCGGTCCGAATTTGGCGCCGCCCCCGACAACACTACTCGGACGAAAACTACTGGGAGAGAGACCCATGAGGAGGCCAAAGCATGAGGATATGGGGCTCAATCGGTATCAGTCAAAGACTGGGCCTCATAATCTTCCAAAACTTAGGATCTTGATGTGACAACGGAGTGACGGCGCAGCGCTACATCAACAAAGTCCTGCAGCCCCATGTGACTCCGTTTTTCCAGAGACATCAAAACCACTTCTTTCAGCAGGATAACGCCTGGCCTCATACAGCACATGCTACCCAGCAGTTCCTGGTGCAGTACAACACACCCACCATGCCTCACCCATCCCGATCACCAGATGTGAACCCAATTGAACACTTTTGGGACATCCCTCAGAGGCGTCTCAACCAACTCAAGGTCAGACCCCGGACAGCTGCACAACTGGGTGCTGCTATTCTTCAGGAGTAGGTACAGGTCCCCAACTGCCAAATCAATCGTTTGGTTCACTCTATTCAGCCCCGATGCACTGCTGTCATCAACGCTAATGGAGGCTATACCAGATACTGACAGGAATTTAAGCCCCAATTCAAGGTCATTGATGCCGAATAACAAAATCTGTTCCCAAGCAAATCCCCAACTCTCAAGCATTGTTTTGTGCAATTCGAGACACTTCAAACCTGTTTCTCTCTATAAAAATATTGCTCCAATTTACTCTCCTCTTCTAGTGTCATGTGAATTCGCATTACTTTTGCCGCTGAGTATATGTATAAAGTTGAGTGTTTCCCGAGTGAAGTGTCCACTCACCTCCACAAAGCTGGGAACATACTAACCACTCTGACCACTCCCCAAAGCCTTGTCCATCAATGACCTCTATACCTGGAAACGGGTAGAGCGAGCCTGCGCCAAAATCCTGATAGGAAAATATAATGATTGGTTGATTAAAAAAACAATCTGACATATCAATAGAATAATAGTAATAGAAACATTATAGTTACTTTTGGTACTATCGATAAATATTGTCTTTATTTATGGTGACCTTATTTAGGCCACATACGGCCTAAATAAGTTAACCCCCCCTCCCAAACCTTATTTAGGCCACATATGGCCTATATGAGGTACGCCCCCCCTCCACCTGACCTTATTTAGGCCACATCATAAAGCAAAAAAAACCCCTCTTCACATTAATCTTCTATCACAGCAGGACATGTAATGAATCTAGAATCAATTTAAGGTCCTTTTCTGTATCTACAAATCTCCAGTTAAAAACAGGTGCCATTGAATTACCCGTACAAAACTTATCAATAAATGGGTATTTTCTTCGAACGTGAATAGGTGGACCTCGTGGGGTAGCCTAGTAGTCTAGTGTTAGTGTTAGGGTAAGGCAAAGTTTTAAAAAGTAAAAAAACAAACTAACCCTGGTGGGCAGACTCGTTTCGACATTATTCCAGTTAAACTTCTACCTAAATCGTCATTCTTGATTAGAATTATTTAAAAAAACTTTTTTGAAAAAGAAAAGTGGTTTGTTTATTACATTTTTTTAAATTGGTAAATTATCCTCGCAAACATAAATATGTATTTAACCGAATCTAGAGGAACACTGTCACCTGGCAACACTGGATGTCTTTGTATTTTGAGGATTTGAGATTTACAGATTCGAACGGCATGGTTATGCCAGTTTGTTTTTTAAAACTTATCTTAAGTAGATTACTAGAACTAACCATGGATTCGAAAGATCGAGATTCTGCCGATCTTTTATTTAGTGAGGGGGATTATTTCAAAATAGAGGAATGATTCTGAATGAAAAGTGGACATAGGGTAGGAGTTGTGCGTGTGTGTGTGTGTGTGTGTGTGTGTGTGTGTGTGTGTGTGTGTGTGTGTGTATGTGCGCACGCGCTCGTGTGTGTGTGTGTGTGTGTGTGTGTGTGTGTGTGTGTGTGTGTGTGTGTTTGTGTGTATGATTGTATGTGCAGGGGCGAAGGCTGACTTGTTTGATAGGGTAATCAAAGTGAAACGGGATCAGATATGGCCTGTAGATATCACACAAGAATCTTACTCGAAGCGGCGACTCTGAGTTGTAAATGAAAACAAATCCGGATTTCATATTGTATGTTCAACCGCCAAAATAATCGGGAAAGTATCTTATTAAATATCAGTTACAACTAAAATTAAATTTAACTTTAGATGTGAATACATAAACACAAAGCAAAGAAGCAGATATGTCAGTACTAGATCTATATGTTATAGATCTACCAGTGAGTCTAACTCTTTGGTAGAACATGACAATTATCAATTTTTAAATTTCACGTTTGGCAGTTTTTGTTAGCCTTTCGCGGCCAGGAGCTGGTGTCATAATCGAGGTCACGATCTGATTATAGGACGGTAAAAAGTCGAGGTAAAAAAGCAAGCACATGCAGCAGTCAAGAGATTATTGGGAGTTAGTTCCCCTCACATTTGTGAGGTAGACTCGACCAGTGTTAGTTAGCTTACATAATCAGGGCTTGTGATTGATTACAACTGTGACCCATAAGGGGTGAACAGGGTATATGTGGCAATAAAACAGCTTTGACTGCTATGCACATGTTCCCTTCAATTCTATTGGTAGACTCTTCAAGCCTCACTTTAAGCTTACTTAATCAAAGCTTGCGACTGCTTATGGAGTGGCCCGAGAGGGGTGAGGGGGCTATTTCTGTGGCCGTGAAACCGTTTTGAATGTTAGGCATACTGTTCATTGTTGATTACGAACGTCTTTTGACATTTAATTTAAGAGGTTTACATTTATGGATGAATTTGACAGCGACAATGTTTCAAAATTAGGAAGGGAAGCAGTGGTTATTGATTATATAGACGCTTCGCCCCTGTGTGTGTGTTGTTGTTGTGTTGAGAGCATAGAGTTACCCCCTTTTAAACTAGAGTCCATACGAGGTTACGTGACACGGACACATTTGAGTTTGTTGGCGGTCATTTTTAATGTGGCTAAAAAGTTTGTTTACATGTGAGTGGGCGTGTCTCTGCTCTTAGTCTTACGTGTTTTATTTGATTCTAACGTTATGTTTTGATTCAAAGCGATTCTCTTAAAGGTGCAAGCATGTGAAACCTCTTGTCCCTTTCTGGATTAACGTCTTGCTGGTTCTATCAGGCAGTTCAGTGATGTCTGTTTTCTTTTATTACATCATCTATTTTTAGTGCATAATATGTCTTATAGACACAAATAGTCACTTCGGGTTTCTTTTTTAAAACATAAAGAGCCATCAGAAAGGTTCTGGGCCATGTGAAGTTAAGGTTGACTAGCAGCTAAATCTTTTTCACAATGGGCAGGAAATTTCTTTATCAAACTGAAACAGTGTACTTTTTATTGTTTTGTTTTATTGAATGTTGTCCAAAAACACCTTAGTAAAGGTTTTTGTTTCAGTTATCACTACACTGAGTAGAAAAACAATTGACTAGGCTACAAAACAACATTTAAGTCCATTTTTAAAAATCTTTAGTGGGTCCAGAGTTGTCACAGTTGTTTTACTAATGTCCAAAATTAGACTTACTTAAAACAGCAATAGAAGGAGCTTTAGTTTAAGTGGTTTATATTGTCTACTTTAGTTCATAAAATCAATATAAACCAAAGTTTAATACCGACATAAGAAAACACTACTTACAATTTAGTATACTTTTAAAAAAAGTGAACATATGAATGAAAAATACAGTTTCCTGTTCAAATGTCACAAGGGAAAGTTTAACTCGATTGTAAAAATACCAGTACATGTATTCATCATTTGTTTGACTGAATTTGCTTTATCAAGAGCTTCATTGCATTCCTACACCTAAAGGCTGAAAAACTCTGGAATTTTTTTCCTATGGCTCATCCTGATTTATTTTAATGCCAAACTCATATATCTGAGGGGGGCCGGGGGGGGGGGGGGTGGTATTGGGATTCGGGAGGAGAGAGAGGGTGGGGTGGTTATAGGAGGTTCCTATGACACCCACATCTTTTCATACTTCTTTTTAAAAGTTCTATAGGCCCTATACGCTTTGATTCGGTTAATAAGAAATAAATCACCTCGTAGATAAAGTGCTGAAGAAGAAATAAAGGTTGGGCTTTTTCCTTCTCTTTTTTAAAGCCCATATCTCTATCTCTATCTATTTAGTAATACATTTATTTGTAGATCTAGTTGTAGAAAGAACACCGTATTACTGCAATTTAGTAATTTAGATATAGTACGCCATGGCGCCCATGTAAAAAAAAATATCAACAAGAACCAAGCCTCGCCTGTCGCGTATGAGAGAGAGAGAAAACATGCCTAGCCCATTGCTTTAGCATGAGCTCCTTCACACAACTTGCCACAAAAAACATGGCGGACGCCGCTGTCAAATGTGGCCATCGCGCAGCAAGGCGAGAGAGGGGCGTACTGTATCTAGTGCGTTAGTGTACATCTATGGTTGAGAGAGATAAAGATAGACACAGAGAGAGATACAGTAAATGTAATAGTGTATTGATGTCATGTGTGTGTGTGTGTGTGTGTGTGTGTGTGTGTGTGTGTGTGTGTGTGTGTGTGTGTGTGTGTGTGTGTAAAGTGTGTAAGTGGGTGAGTGTTATTTTGTGCGTGATTGTCTATCTGAGTTGTACGGCCCAAATGTACATTATATTGTTGAGAACTACAAAACCCCTCTTTACAACGTCATAGAAATATTTTTTGGTACTTATAGAGGTACAGCAGTACAGGGCGATTTTAAAAATCACCCGCAAGTATAATCAGACAAATTGGGCAATATCTTTACCAGTGGCCAATGTTGTAATTGGTGCAAGCGCTACACCTAACCCTGGCCTTCACTCCCACCCTTTTTCTAATTTTTCTAAACCAGTCAGTGCGCTAGATCTACATTAGGCCTACTACACCCTTGGGATCCGTCACCCGCTGGCTGCGCCAGTGAAGAGACAGATGGGCGAGGTTGGTTTATGCTCATCGTGTAGTGTCTGCTGGGAGCAAGCAAAATATTTGCACCAAAGTTATTTTTGTCACTAAAGAGAAATCCAGGCATCGTTCTTCCCGCACAAGAATAAAGGTGCATGAAACTGCTCTTCGCAGCACCAATTTGGTGCAAGCTAAAAATTTGATCCAAGTTTCCACTAGCCTATCTACTTCACTAGATCTAGTAGAGTCTACGGTAACTCAATGAAGAATGGGTAACGAAACTGTTGTCTCCCTCTATTGTGTAGCAAGTCCTGGTGCTGCACGAAGTAGTTAGAAATCTTTAAATCTTCAAACAGAGCACAAACAAATAATTGGCAGTTCAATTTCCCCTGCTTCTCTTGTTTTGTCTTACAGCGAACGATGTCTTGTAGTGGTTTTGGCTTACGCCCATCGGTAAACTGTCCTATTGTGAAACGCCACTGCTCCACGGGTATCATGGTGGCCTTACTCACACTCGCAACACAACACAAAGGCCAAGCCTAGGCTTGTAAGGATTCGTTTTGTTAAAAGTGTTGTTTAACACAAAGTCTAAGAAGTTAGCAAACCTAACATTTTTTTCTAGCGAAATGAAGCTTAAATTGACTTTTATATTGTCAATAAAAGATCAAGTTTAATCACCTAGATATCTAATCATTTAAGTAAGGAAGTGGCTATCCTCACTCGGGGTGAGAATAAAAACCCTAGGCCTACGATTGACCTCTCACCCCGGATGAGACTTGCCAGCGTTGGCTATTCTCACCCAGTGTGAAACAAAACCTGTTTTTCCTAATTTCGAAATACTTTCTATCGGTGTGGATGATCAAATTAACAAAAGCAAAGAAAAAAATTAAGTTATAGCACAAAACTAAGCTACTTTGATCGTCTACAAAGATGCTATGGCTCTTTCACTTTTCGAATCGAGCCGAACTACGCGGGTCGCCATTTTGTTTTGCCCGAAAGTTCTCGCAAG